GGATAATTGTGTTTGTTTTCTGATCAGAGAAATAGTGTAATTTTAGACACAGTATTGCCGTCTCGCCGCAGACATGCCTCTAATATTATATTTACTGTAGACCTAAACACTAAACTTTACACTGAGCTCAGTAAAATCCTCTCTGATTAGTTATTAATAATCTGTTCAATAATTCATTACAGTCATATGAATGGGGAATACAGGTTTAGTTTAATGTAGTTTCAATCAATCAATCAATAAAAATAATATATTTTCTTTTTATGAGGGTATGAGGGTGGTATGAGGGCTCGATGTCCACAGGTGGGGGTTGCAGCCCAACACCATGGTACAACACCATGAGGTAGCCTGACTGCCATTAGGTACTGAGATGACATCCTCAGACCCCTTGTGAGACCATATGCCGGTGTGTTTGGCATTTCATTCATTCAGATCTAGGATGTGTTATTTTAGTGTTCCCTTTATTGTTTGAGCAGTATATATATATATATATATATATATATATATATATATATATATATATATATATATATATATACCAGCTGGGCATAGTTAATCTGAAAGCAAGTTGGGCTGCAGTCACACTAGAGTTTGTGCTTGCAAAATTCTTTCGTACAGCGCTGCAAAAAAGGGTGGGAAAAACAAGATGATTAGACGATACTAAAAGCGACTGATTGCTCCATATAGCTTATGTTTTGATCTTCTATTGGTCTCATGCACTCACGTGATGCGATTTCAAGCTTTGGTCTTACCTTTGTGAAGTCCACTATTAAATCTGTCATGCAGCTATATATTTATAATTAGAAAATAATTACATCACAAGTTAAATTATTGTCTAGGCAGTTTATACAGGGTAATTCAATGACAAGAGTTTACTTTCTTAACTTCACAATGCAGAACTTTTAATGTGATTAACCTGCTCCACCTACACCAACTACAGCATTTCTCAGACTTCTGTTTCACTATGGTGTAATTACAGTGGTGAACATCACATAAAACAACTGCACTTACTCCTGTAACTTGTTTGTGTAACCCCTTCTGGTTCGTATGTTTTTTTTATAATGATCACACGGAAGCAGTTTACCTGAACAAGTTCACTTTATAGTGTTCTCCAAAATAAAACAGGGCTCCACACAGACAATAAGTGTACCAGGTCTGGTCATCAGAAAAAATCACTCTCAATAGCTCTTGAACAACAAGTGAACTGACAAAATGGCTGGCTGACCTAAAGCATATTACATGAACAGGACCTGCCTAACATCTCTTAAGACAAATAAGCAAAGGTGTCTATAACAATGCATGCTTGATTGCCCAGATCATTACATCTGAATGGTGCCTTTTAGTAAGCATAGTTCTTCACCAATACCAGTTTAATACCTCAAATAATTACACCTATGTGAGGCGTCACAGTGGTGCAGTGGGTAGCACGATCGCCTCACAGCAAGAAGGTTGCTGGTTCGAGCCTTAACTGGGACAGTTGGCATTTCTGTGTGGAGTTTGCATGTTCTCCCCGTGTTCGCGTGAGTTTCCTCCGGATGCTCTGGTTTTCACAAAGTTCATAGACATGCGGTGTGTGTGAATGAGTGTGTATGCTTGTTTCCCAATAACGGGTTGCAGCTGGAAGGGCATCCGCTGTGTAAAGCATGTGCTGGATAAGTTGGCAGTTCATTCCACTATGGCGACCCCTGATTAATAAAGGGACTGAGCTGTAAAAAAAATTAATGAATATATGAGTTATATCACATGAGTATCAGTTTCTGTATTTTTATTTGTTGTAATGGCCAGTTGTTATTGCAATAAAAAAAAAAAAATAAATTTGAAAAAAGCAGTGTGATGTGGCTCTTGAGAACGATAGTCTCTCTACCTGTTGTTTCAATCCCCTGAGAACTTTTCTCATCTTCAGAACGCAAATGAAAACACTTTAGATGAAATCAGAGAGCTCCCTCGTCTGTCATAGACAGCAAGAGTCCAGAGATGCTTGGTTTGACAGTGGTTTTTCTGGAAAAGAAACCAAAAACATTGTCAAAAACTGTGACGTGACTTTTAGAGGTTAAATTGTAATCGAGTTCCAAGAACATTTTGTGTGCCAGAAAATGTTGATAAAAGCAGCCATGTCCAAAGTAGGAGCTGTTGAAAGATATAGTGTCTGTTTTTTGCCCCTGTAGCCTATTCTCTTCATTTGCATTCAGCAGAAGAAACTCAAACAGGTTTGGCTCAAGTAGTGGATGAGTAAATTACCGAATTGTAAATTTTTAATGTAAACTACCCATTTAATGCTTCTGTAAGTAAAGGTAAATGAAATATTATTACTAATGATATTGCTAAAGAATGGCAGGAAACGTGGCACACAGATAATAAGAGACAATTCATATGAAACAATAAGAAACACTATATAGGCCTATGAAGTTGTAAAAATAGAAAAGAAAATAAGGGGTCATAATTATAAGATTTGGACTCAGATATTAATAAGAAGTAATGTTTTGTAGACATGCAAGTCATCATGAACTGGATAAAAAAAGGTTCTCAAAATTGTCTTAAAATGTTTAGATTAAAGGTTTTGATCAACT